AAATCTACATATTTTAAAAAATCTTTTACAACCGTTCTTGTAAACAGTGTATCGTACTTGAGGTAAGTACAGCCATGGCGTAACACGTTACTAATTTATAAATATAATCGTCTTTGGTTTTAAGGAAAATTTTACTTTGATGACAAGAAATTTCGTGACCTAAAGTAGATATATATTTTTTGATAAATGGAATTCAAAGTTGGGCTTACTGCCTTCGTTATCTTCATTTTCTTTTTGTGTAAAGGTGTAGAAGGTTTAGAGTGTTATTCGTGCTCTAATGAAAAGTGCAAAGAAGATTCTTTAGAGACAATACAATGTTCAGGTACAGAAAAGTGTATGACGGAAACAAGCACTGAAGGTAAAAAATAAAAATCACTTATGCAAGGTATACAGGGTGTCTGGAAAATGGCGGATTAACTCTTCGGTACGTCATGTACGGGGTTTCCGAACTGGAATTCACATTTTTTATTTTTTAGAACAACCAGTCATTAATCACTGTGCGCTACTATCAGTAAAACAAACTTATATTAATTTATCAGTAATAAATAAATTAAAAAAGCATTTAATAAAACAATCATAAATTACCTATGAAAAAGTGAGAAGGATTTTTTTTTTACTATTTTTTTCCAGACAGGGGGACTTAATCCGCCATTTTTCAATCACACAGTACGTTGCGTTAAAATTATGTAAAATTTAAACTTTAACAATAATTGTTAAAATGTATGTCTGTATTTTTGTATAGGAGACAGTAAGTCGGAATTCAAAAGTTGCATTACACCAAGGATTGCAGCCTTATGTGAAAAGCTAAATCAAAGAAAAGGATATCATTGTAAGATATGTGATACAGACCTGTGTAATTCGGTAGAAATGTACACCTTTTCTTTAATTTTATTATGTTCACTGATTATTTTTTGTAAAATTATGTAATTAGATAAATAAAATTAGTGCAAAGAATAAATATTTTTTAAATAGTTATATTTATTTATTGCGTCTTTGTATTACATTCTGCAAACAAAACACTGTTACTTCGCAAAGCATTTTATGATTTTGATTCATTCATTTTACATAATTTTGTAAAATTATCGGTAATGCGCAATATCCTATTTTTAAAAGTCAAATTTTATGAAATCTACCCTGTTTTTCCAAAGGTAGCCTTTTTTCAAAAAGTCAAAATTTTAACGATTCTATCATGTTTTTCCAAAAGTAAATTCGTTTTCGATCAAACAATTTATCTAATAAAATTTTCAGTTGTTCCAAAATACTTGGGACAATGAATATTGAAAGTACTAAAGTCAAATGCAGCAGCTTTTTTTCATAACATATTTGATTATCTGGAAGACTTATTGAACATAAGTCTGGTAAATTCGGCTCTAGAGACCCCTCATGAGTCTTGGTTGAATTTACCTTCGGTTCATAAGGCTGTGCTGAATTTGGTTGTTGTATATTGTTATCTCTGAAGAAAACCGGCGTGGGTTAAATTCAACAATTTATTTCGCAATAACTCAAATTTACACGACTAACTATTACAGAGATTATGTACAGAATAACTTCGCGGTGCAACTTGAATTAATTCACTCACTGGACTCCACTTGCCGACCAAATAATCCTCGTTCCCTTCTAGATGTGCGCCGCTCGCGATTTTTCTGGATTGTCGTTCGCGACTCCACTTCCAGGCTTTTCTTTAGCGCTCCGTCGCTCGGTCGCTGTCATTAACAATGAGTCATCATCGGCGTACAGACCAGAAAGTTCTCGATGGCCCATAGGCGTCGTACCGAGGCGGCGTTTGGGTTTATTTCGTAACAATATTTTAATCGTTCAGGACTTCCATACATATTACACGCCGGCGCGGCGGGGGATATCACACGAAAAGTCTGAAAATTGAAGAGAGTGCATAGTGTTCACGATACCATTAACTATTATATTCAACCCTATTTTAAAGACATGTACTTTTCCCAATAAATGAAAGGATTCTAGAATTTGCCCTATCCACAAGGAGAAAAACCAAATGTCGAAAATTTTAGGCCATGCCTATTATTTCTATTTTGCCAAGATATTCGAAACAGTATTACATAATATTTTATCCCATCATATTTCATAAATGATTTCCTGAACTTAGCATGGTTTTACCAAAGGACGCTCCACTATGATAAATCTTCTTTTCATAACTCAATTTTTAAATGATTCAATGCCAAGTGGACGTTATTTATACTGATTTATGAAAAGCATTTGATAAAATTGACCATCGTCTCCTAATGCAAAAGCTAGTGTTTGTGATTATTAGAATTGGTTCGAAGGACCAAAATGAACAGTGCGACCGTTTTGCTTGGGATTTATTCCAGAACTCTTGCTACATAATTGTGTGTACCGGTACCGACTAAAATGGGGTGGGTGGGACACACCCCCACCTCTTACAACCCCAGGTACCTGCTTAAGGTGATTGGTAATGGGAATTTCCAACATGCCGGCCCCGTTGAAGGTTTAACTTCAAAACAATTGGAGGGGGGCGTCTGAATAATGATACATGCTATTGTAAATTCAGAGGAGCATAAAAATATAACATACTTATAATAATCACACGAATCTAATTCGCGGAGCACAGCCGGCAACACAAAACTCGTCATTCGCTAGGGATAATGCGCACCTTTGTCACCGCGCGTTTCACCACTCCCGTACTAGTTTTTACGGATACAACCCGCACAATTCCGTCGTGACCTGGGTGAACTTCGGCGACTCGTCCTAACCTCCACCGTAGCGGGGGCAGTCCATCCTCCACTAGAACTACCAAAGTTCCGACGTCGAGGTTGGGTTGCGTCATTTGGTGACCCTTGGAACGGAATTGAAGTTGGGCCAAGTACCCCTTGGTCCATTGGCTCCAAAAATGTTGCTGCAATTGCTGCACGCGTTGCCATCGAGATAAACGATTTACAGAGATCTCCTTTAGGTCCCGTTCCACTGGCGTTGTTAAGGGCTCGCCGATCAAAAAATCTCCCGGTGTCAGAGCTTCGAGGTCATTTGGATTTTGGGATAAAGGTGTCAGGGAGCGGGAGTATAGACAAGCTTCGATGCGGTTTAATAAAGTATAAAACTCCTCGTAAATTAAGGATGCATTATCGACCACCCTGTGCAAGTGATGTTTCACGCTTCGTACGACACGCCCCCACAATCCCCCAAAATCAGCCAACCTACTGGGTATGAAATGAAATTTCATACCTACGGATGCGGAGTACTGCAATATTTTATTTTGAACCTTTCGCGGGATTTCGAAATTGGACAATTTCTGAAGGGTTTTAATAAATTTGATAAAAGTGTCGCGAATTTCAACTGGTATAGGTTCATCCGAATTCGACTTATGCGACCAAAGGTTTTGCAAGAGAATTTTTGCCTTATCGATAATTGGATTTATTTCACCAAGAGCGTTAAAGATTTTTGCGACCATGGATAACATGTAGCGTTTTGTAACAGTTTTAGGACAACAAATTGGCGGAAGATTTATTTGATATTTCAGTTGGTCACCTAAAACCTTTTCATAATCTGCTTGTTCAAATACAGTACGATGGGGTAGGCAATAACTATTTGGGAACTCCAAAGTATTAAAAGGAACGAGCTCCGTTTGGTTTAAGCCGCGATATTCTACCATAAACTCTTTGTCGACGGATTTTAGTTTATGGTCCTTGTCCGGTCTATTCTCTAAATTCAAGAATTGCTTTACAGCCCTTGGGCGTGACTCATCCAAGCGAAGGCCTTTAAGGGGATGTTTGCTAAGTGAAAACTGTCGGATTTTTAATTTTGCCGTGTTATTGTCTTCACAAGAAGTTTGCGTGTAGAAAAATAAAGACGAGAAGTAGTGGTAAGATGTTTGAAACTCAGGAAAGCTGGGGTGTAATTTATGACACCCATAATCTCTGGTAACAGTTCGGCACCCGCTTGTCGCGTATTATTGTTCGATTTTCGTTCGTCAACAGTTCAATTTTCATATACGAATTTATAAAAATGACCACAAGAAATTAATAAGAAATAAAAATCTGAATGTGTACAAAAATGAACTTCGAAAAATTAAGGCAACAAATACTAAGTCCAAGCAATTATAATCTAATTGGGAAACTGATTGATTTACAACAAAAAAAGCAGTCAGCCGAATAATTATAAATGCAGTTATTTTTCGGACACAAAACAATCACTTGCGCAACACTTAAAAAGATTTGTGGCAAGTAAAATAAAATCAATTTTAAGTGTCCAAATGGTTCTACTGAGTGTGTCCCTATACTGAAATGCAACGAAAAAATCACCAATTTCTGCATCAGTACGTACCTATATGTCGTGATGTAATGCAAATTATAAAATAAACTAGAGACCAATAATTTGTTTCGTTTTTATTTATGCGTATTTATAAATATACCCAATTGTTTTACTTAAAACTAAGTACTTCAATTATTTGGATTACATATTTCAATTATAACTGGTTCCCTAGCTGGTTGGTATCGGCTAAGTTCAAACTAAAGAGGTATAGAAACTACCTGTGTATACTGAATGGTTATCCGGCTAATTATAAGGTTTATGGTAATCTTTTATTTAACAAAATAAAATTCTTTCAGGTAATACACTTTGATCTTTGACAAAAAGCCGAGAAGCAATAGGATTGGTGATTATATAAAGTAACAATAATAAAATTTCTATTAGTAACATTGACTTACACTTTATGTAAGTGTATAAAAACAGCGGCGGGTCTAAAAAACAATAATATTTATATGTACAGAAATTAGGAAATAAAAGCATAATAATAGTAAAACTAATCAAATGATGATTAAACTGCATTTTTTGTTTGTAGTTTTAGTAGGTTTTTGACATAATAATTCTGATAAAAGTTTTTTCGACTTTTTCGTGGCTTTGAAAGTGGAATCTTCGACTTTCGTCCCATTTCAAAATTTACTCTTTATATATTTCAATGGTCACAACGAGTTCACTAAGGGCCGGTCTTTTCATGTCCCAGATAAAGTGTCCGATAACTATCATCCCGATAACTTTACCTGGCGGTCTTATCTTCTAAATAAGCTCGTACCGTCTTTTCATTTTGCAACTGTTAGACATGGGTCTCCGATAACAATCAGCTAGTCCAGCTGTAAGCGAGAGAGTGGGAGCTATTGGTATTCTAACATGAATAAGAGAGAAAGACTATTTGCAACTGGGTTTGCAACAGTTTTTGACGTTCGAAGTCGTACCGTTGCTAACATAACCTCATTTACTTCGTATATTATCGTTTTGTTTTGATTACGCTATGGATGTCTATGAAGATATCGACATATTATTTGATGCAGATTTAATAAATGTGATCGAAGAAATAAATCCACATCGAACATATACTGTTCGCGAAAGGAGAGATCATTTCAACTTTTGGAATGACCAAGAGTTTTTCAATCGTTTTCGCCTTTCAAAAGCCACAGTAGAATTATTATTTAACGAAATTCAAGAGCATTTACATCATCGGACCGGAAGGTAAAAATAAATAGGAAATATTAGACGTACTATTAATTTGTGTTAATTTAAAACAGGAATTTAGATCGAGCTATTCGTCCTATGGATCAACTACTTTTAACGTTGCGATTTCTGGCCACCGGAGATTTTTATATTTGTACAGGTGATTTTCTGGGAGTCCATAAATCAACAGCAGCAAAAATAGTTCAACGTGTGGTAACAGCAATTTGTACGTTAAGAAGGATTTATATTTTTATGCCGAATACTGAGGAACAAAGACACGAGAAAATTATTAAATTTCATAATTTGGCTCAATTTCCACGAGTGATCGGGGCAATAGACTGTACGCACATAAAGTTACAATCTCCAGGAGGTGAGCGTGCGGAATTATTTCGATGTCGAAAGGGCTTTTTTTCATTGAATGTCCAAGTTATTTGTGATGCCAGTCATAAAATTTTGGATGTAGTGACACGTTGGCCAGGTTCGACACATGATGCCCACATATTTCAAAATTCATCTGTATATATGAGGTTTGAAAATGGCGAGATGGGCAATGGAATTTTATTAGGAGATAGTGGCTATCCTTCTCGAAGGTATCTTTTAACTCCGATTCATAATCCTGAAGGACAGGCAGAAAATCTTTATAATGAATCACAAATAAGAACTAGGAATGTTGTGGAGAGAACATTTGGAATCTGGAAGCGTAGATTTCCGGTGCTAAGTGTGGGTATAAGGTGTCGGCTGAATTTAGCACAGAGAATTGTGGTGGCATGTGCCATTTTACACAACATTGCCTGCCAACAAAATGAAGAAGTTTTTGAAGGGGATGATGAAGAGGATCAGCCCGTGGTATATAATGGTGTAGAAAATAACGATGGTGGTGTTGAAGAAAGGGAAACAATAATTGATTATTTTCGAAATATGTTGACTGCAGGAGGATTTATAATTTAGTACATGCATATGTATTATTTGTTTCATGCAAAATAAAAAAATGTTTTATTTTTCTAGCAACTCTAGTGTTTTTTTTTTAATCGATAATTCACATTCTAGAAACTCCATTTTTTTTAAATACAGTTTCTGTTCCCTCTCGATTTCTAAATCCAAAGCGGCTAATTTCTGTTTCTGAATTGCCATTTTTAATTCATGTTCTTCAACTCGACGAAGCTCCTCGTTTTCCAGGTACTTCTTCTGCAATTCTACAAGGTTATGACGTGAGTTCACCACATTCTCCACTTTCACGTTTAATTGGTCCTTGGTACAGTGCCCCTTTGCCTTTTTTTGATTTAGGAGAGGATGTTTTTTTGTTTTTAGTTGTGCAGGAGACCATCCCGTCCATTTAATATTTGAGTTCACTCCTGTACTTGAACCCTACAATCATTGCAACTGTTAAATGATATTTTACCGAGTATAGGCTCCTTACCTCTCCTCCGTCCTTTGAGCAAACCTGCAAAAGTCCCGGGACGATGGATTCCTCTGTTTCAGATGGATCAACATGTGCCTCCTGCAAATGCAAGTTAACGATTAGCAAAGAGTCAAATGACTAATTAAAGCAGAACTTATACATCAATTATTATTTGTGGCACTTGAGCATCTGATGTTAGATCCTCATTGACTCCAATTTCAATGTTCGGGTTATCTGATGTTTCACCATTCATTGCTAAAACATTGAAACAATTGTTTATATTTCAAAATTAATGTCTATTTATATAATATCCATATTTTTACTGTGATTTTATGAAGAAAAAATTGATGTAGAGCAATAAACTTGCATATTTTGAAGGAATGTTTGATGCTTTTGCTTAAATTAGCGATAGTGACAGTAAAAATGTGAATGCAGCCCATGTATTCTCACCCATAGGAATCAATCCCTCATCTGAATCAAATTCGGATGGAAGTCCATTGACAGGCACTGTTAGGGACTCTTAACAGTTCGGTCTCATAATCTTCAAAACTCATATACTGGGAAGATCCGCCACCAGTTTTGTACGTTTCTTTTTTATTGAACGCAACTTTGCGTTTTATATCTCTCTTCGTCGCTTCGTACTTTTGACGAATCCTTTCTGGTGTTCGGATTACATTTCCTATTTTTAATTACAATATATAATAAAAATATAATTTATATAACATGTAAAATAAATAACTTGCCTGTTATTGCATTGTATTCGGCAGCAATTTCTTTCCACGTCTCCTCTTTCTGCTTCCACGTGACGGAATCGGTTCTTTTATTTTCAATAATATGCGCCCTAGTAGCAATAATTTTTAAAAGCCGCCTTGTTTCAGCCTTCGTGTAATTTGGCTCCCTCTTCCGTTTTTCTTCATTTTCAATTTTTCGTTTGCCCATTTTTTTTAAATAATAAAATCACTCACGATTCAAATAAAAACAACACCTACACCACATAACCTATAACGGTCTTTGGCAGAAATGGCACGTCATCGACAAGTGAGCAATCGCGTAAGTTCGCTGCGCCATCGGCTGTCGCCGTCAGATATCTGTAGGAATCGGCGACTATTCGGAACTCAAAGTTCCGAATAGTGTATCTGCCGAATAAGAGCTATTTATCTGGGAGATAATTTTGTCAGGTGGTGAAAAGACACCATTTGACGTTATCCAGCAGATAAAAATTATCAGGAACTTTATCAGGAGGTGAAAAGACCGGCCCTAACTACACTGAAGTAAATTTCTGCAAAGATTAAATTTGTCACCGAAAAGATGTCGGAAGTAATAAATTATCCCATCGGTCCAAGAACGTTCGGTGGGTGTTATACCCCAATCCGAAAGAGACCGCAGCAAGAGACAGCAAATGGAACGAATAAAATAAAGCTTCAAACATGATCAGTTTTAAATCAAAATTATGAAGTTTTATAAATCGCGAATTTTTTATTTTTTTTGAAATATCATAGTAAACACTTCAAAGAATGTCCATGACTTACTTTAATCTGAATTTTGTAACTATGCTCGGCACAGTCGGACCTAATATTAGTGTGATTTTGAGCATATTTGCGATTTTATTAGAGCAAAACAGGTCATTTTTTCTCCAATTTTATAAGTTCCGGACACTAATAGAATATCAAAGATATTGTAAAAAAAAAATTAGGTTCAGTTTCCAACTAGTTGTCTAGTATTTATGAAACAAAATCTACTGTAAATTCACTGAAAACTAAACGGATAACATCACCTTAACAGGTAATTTTACCATGAATTGTTCTGACGACATCTTACTTGTCTTATTGGTCTTATATTCGTCCTGATGGAATACGTAATTAAAAATGGGTTTACAATTTACCAAGTTACATGATACGCTTGGAGCGGGAATGGTTGTAATTAATTCGCCCGACAAAATGTGGCCTAGTTTTGTATTTTGTAAATATGGTAGATTTTTACCTAATAAAATAGGTCCGTCTAATAATAATTTCCAGAATAATTGGGCTCCAACTAACAAATCGACATTTTGGGAAATATTATAATTAGGATCTGCTAATGTTACATTTGGTGGCAAATTAATTATTTCTTTTGGAAATGTTACGCTAGGAATTGGCAGAGTAATTTTGGAGAAAACAACACAATCGAAATTTACTGCTGACGCGCGATTTTATAGTTACGTTCACATTTCCTTGTGTTCGATTATTGCATGTACTGATACCAGAAATAAATTCGGTTCCAGTTGTTGGTATGAGACCTAATTTATCACATAAACCCTTAGTGATTACATGTGCTTGGGAGCCGCCGTCCAAAAGCACTCTACATGTTTGAAAACCTCCTCTTTTATCTAAAATAAAAACTGTTGCGGTTGATAAAAGGACTTGGTTACAGGTTTGGCTTTGCAAAGTGTTAGCGGATGGTACAAATTCATTGCTATGTAGCAATGTGTGGTGTCTTTGATTACATTCCTTACATGAAAACGTTGATTTACAATCTTCAGTTTTGTGATTATTTCTTAGGCAGTTTGCACAAAGTTTTAAATTTTGAGATACAATGTTTCTGTCTATAACGGATTTGCTTAGAAATTCATTGCATTGATAAAGAACGTGTGAATTTTTGCACAAAAGGCAATTAAATTTGGACACTACGTTAGAATTATTAAACCTTTTTTGAATAATGTTTTGCGGTCTTATATTTAATTGTTTAGGACTAGAAATTATTGATTTGGACTTATTGGATGGTAAATTATTGGTTTTTAACTTATCCATCGCTTCCAATATTTCACACCTTTTTTCTAGAAATTCGGAAAATTGCAGGAAAGTAGGTACTGCCTTGTCTAGTGTTGACTGCCATTCCTTTTTAGAGTCATAATCTAATTTTTCGAATACAATTTGGACCAAAATTGCGTCCCACTGATCGACCGGTAAATTTAACACCTGTAAGGCCGCGACATTATTGGAAACTGTGTCGATAATTTCCCGTAATTCCTTGTGCGATGATTTTAACAAGCTGGGTATGTTTAAAATGTTTATGATATGTTCCTGAACAATTAATCTTTTATTTTCAAACCTTTTTTGTAGAGTTTCGATTTCCTTCCTGTAGTTTTCGTTGCGGACCGCCAATGATTCGATGGACCGCAACGCCTCATCTTTTAAACAACTACGCAAGTAGTGGAATTTGCGGATATTTGATATGTTCTCGTCATTGTGTACTAAAGATTTAAATAGATCAAAAAACGAGAACCATTCGCTATGTTTGCCATCAAAGGTAGGCAGTGGTAAAGGTTTCAAAATTACGCTATATTCATTAGCTTCGATTTTATTACCATCATTATGTATGTTAATAGTTGTAGAGTTAGGGGTTAGCGACGGGTTCGACGTCGCCGGACTGTTCTTAATAATTATGCCTTTTATTTTACCTAATGTTTTATAGTATTGGTTTTCAACCGAGGTACGTTCCTTATCATTTTCTGATTCCCAATACGATTCATTATGTTCCGCGTCTATTATCTGAAGTGACTCTATTTGATTTTGAATATTATTGTACTCCTTTAACCTTTCTGTCAAATCTAACAACCTTGCATCTAATTCCGGTACACTATCGTCGTCTTTTACATTATTTTGTATACGCGTTATGGCAGCCTTTATTATTTTACGCTGATTTTTTAACTTCGTAAGTTCGGTCATTTCGGAAGACTACGGACGCGCAACGACAAAGGTGAAACTTAAGCACAGGGCGATTGATACGTATAAGAATTTAGAACCGTATGACTTAGAAGGATAGAAAAAGGAAGGATCTGACCTTTTGATGATTTGATCTGCTGCAACCTCTCGATGATGATCCGCTTCTGGGATAAAATCAGCCGACCTTTTAATGATTTGATCTGCTGCAACCTCTCGATGATTATCCGCTTCTGGGATAAAATCAGCCGACCTTTTGATGATTTAATCTGCTGCAACCTTTCGATGATGATCCGCACCTGGGATAAAATCAGCCGACCTTTTGATGATTTGATCTGCTGCAACCTCTCATTGATGATCCGCTTCTGGGATGTTGGCTGCTGCAATCTCTTGATGATGATCCGCTTCTGGGATGTTGGGCATGTGTCTTGATTTATGATTTCGTGGAGTTCTGGATCCGCTTTGAATATCGATTTGGCGCACTTATTCACTTATTTGTTATACCGCTATTCGGGCACTGGTTCGGATATCCGGCTCGAAGGACCAAAAATGTTTGTGATTATTAGAATTGGTTCGAAGGACCAAAATGAACAGTGCGACCGTTTTGCTTGGGATTTATTCCAGAACTCTTGCTACATAATTGTGTGTACCGGTACCGACTAAAATGGGGTGGGTGGGACACACCCCCACCTCTTACAACCCCAGGTACCTGCTTAAGGTGATTGGTAATGGGAATTTCCAACAGCTAGAATGTTTAGGTTTTCGGACTTATTAATTTCATTGTTAAATTCTTATTTAGACAGTTGATATTTATTTGTTAAAATCAATGGATTTAAATCAGAACTAAGCAAACAAGAGACTAGTGTTCCACAAGGTTCCATATTGGGTCCCTTGCTCTTCAATGTGTGTATTAATGACATTGTTGACGTCATAGATGTGCGTTCTCTTCTCCTTGCGGATGATTTAAAGATTTATACTGTAGTCAACTCATATCATGATTCTCTTCGGCTTTAAAAATGTCTCGATAGGCTTTACAGATGGTGTTCAAATAACAATTTAATGATTAATAAAAATAAATACAATGAAATGTCATTTACCAAAAAAAAAAACCGTTATTTACAGATACAGTATTGATAACACCGTTAATGTATGAAACGTCCATAAAGATTAATTTCGATAGTGTAAATAATATTTTAGAAAACAAATACAATAAAATCAATGCACAATACCATCGAATTAGCAGAGATACTAAAACTAAAGAACATTTAAATAAAATAGAAACAAAAGAATTTGGTTTTGTTTATGACAAGAGAGTTATTCTAGAAAACTTTGATACGATACCATTTGGATGCTTCATTTTTTTTCCGTTTTTATTGTTACTAGGTAATGAATAATTTATTATACATATGTAAATGGAAAATTTTATACCTAGAATGAATGATTTTTTGAAGTTTTTGAAATTATTCTTGGTTAAAAAATGTACAATTATTTTAATCACAAACTTCCGTCAGAAATAACAAAAACGGAATTAACAAGAACTTCAAGATAATTTCAAAATAACATTTTTATTCCTTTTTATACATTTCAGTCAGATTACACATTTTATCTTTTCGTTGTACATGTAGATTGTTCTTTGGCAACGGCACTTCCTCCCACAAAAATCCCAAAATTTTAAATTGACTTGGCTCCAGTGCATCCTCATTTATTACTAAAATATTTTTTGAAAGAAATAAAGGATGTGCCGACTTACATAGTTTGTCATAGAACAGAGAGAATATATTTCTAAAAGTAGCTGGAGATAATACCCATTTTTGTATATTTATATTTCGTCGTTCGTCTGTAGCAAACATTTCAAACCGTTTGGTTCTTTCAAAGATGTTGGAATTTACATTGTTTCTATCAAAATAGTGGATACAACTTCGAACATCCATCAGGTTGCACTTTTTGAACTTATCCCAATTGGCTTGAGCCTACAAGATAACAATGACAATTTATTGTAAATTAATTTCCAACAATCAAAAAACATATTAACTTACTAAAGTGTTTTCCACATGCTCAAACTTCAATTCAAGGATTTGGTATTTATTCAAGTTCAAGTTCTGCTTTGCCTTTTTCTTGTTGCCAGATGACCTTCTGTTCCGGAGTGAGTTTTTCTAACATTTTTTTGTATTTCTCCTCTCCCTGAAAATACATTATTTTTGTTATAACTCATAAACAATTAAAGACCTTACCATTATCAATTCTTCGGATTACACGTGAACTTGAGACAAGAAAAACCAGAACTGATGTGACACATGCCACATGGCAGATGACAGCATTAACCGCTTCATTACAGAATAGTCTACAACAAGTGCTATTTCAATATTTGAATTCGAATAAAGCGAATCTAATTAATTTAATATATTATATAGTATGCTATAAATGAAAAAATATTCTGAATCAAAGATTGATCATGAAGGCATAGTCGAATATTTAGAAAAACATTTGTATGTTTGCAGAAAAAGCTAGATATATTTTTATAAAATTGGATTAAATTATTATTTATTGCATCGGGATTTTCTGCGTTAACTCTACTAAAGTTATCATAAGCATGGTAAATTTTTGAGCAAAATGTATTTGCTCATCCCTCGTAAAAAATTGATGACGTCACCTCGAAATATTGCTGAATAAATCCTGTCTTAAATGTGCTAAACATGATAAGTCTATGCTTGTGATTTATCACTGAATTAATATTTTTTAAATTTGCTTATTCAGAGTGACACAAAACAATTAATCAATCAGTCAATCAAGAGTAAGCTGCTCACTTGTTACATTGGAAAAATTAAGTTAGATTAGAGGTCGTGGATGAGACGATCGATGACAACTGTCATTGATCACAAATTCAATTCAAGCGCATATATCAAAAAGAAAACAAAAATCAATAGCAACTTCATGATTTTTTTAAATAAACACTCGTCATTTCTTGCACTAAATTTTGCGGTTCCAGTTATCATATTACAAGAGCTGCTCTTGATGATGCTACATTTACCAAGATGAAAAAGACTCACGTTAAACTAAGATCATGGGGTTGTAATTTTTACCGTTTTCAAACAATTTCAAATATTAGTCCAAAGGTGTTACCTTCTTCTGTTGCTATAGATTCCAATAGACTAGAAAGCATACTTACTAAAGTTATAAATGGGTTTCATCATCTTTTATCCACTGCAAGAGTAAAAAACCTACTTGTCCCTGGTGTACAGTACACATATTATTATCCATTCACGATCTTTATATAGTAGGGTTGGTCATGAAAATCTAGTGAGTTTGTTGGTATTCGATGCAGAAGAATAAAAATTGCCTAAGCTTTTTTCGTTAGGTTATGTTTTATTGAATTAAAGTTAAAAAATATGCTAGAAATATAAACATTGTTGCCGATATTTTCAGTTTTCAGTAGCAATGACCAAGTTAACGGTATCCTTTTCTTAGAAAGCATAAAACTTTACGCTATTTAAAACAGTTATTCGGCTTTTTATAAGTGTTTATTTCATATGTAAGGAACAAATACTAAAATTTCACTTAAACATTGTTTTTATATGAATGGGGGTTCTACATACGACTATTGTCGCATGCCACATTTAGCGTCTCATCTTTAATTCTCAATCATCAGTTCGTTCTGCTCGCCCACTCTTCTTAGAAATGGAAATCTCGACCTTTGTAAACAGCCTATTTCCATATCTTCCAACTTTTTTTTTCACTTTCCTAAGATTACTAAAAGGGTTGGTAAAAGACAATAACCTTGCTCTAGTGCTTTGATGGGTTTAGCTCTTCTGAAACATTTTTTCGGCCTTAAATTGAATGATTCATCTATATATGTAGCTATTACTAATGCTTACGTAAGTGCCCTTTATTTGCTTTTACTAAGTACTTCCAAACGCTTATTAATAAGAACGTTACTATACGCCTTCTCCAGGTCCACGAAGAGTTACAAAAAAATGAAAATGCTTAAAATTTGGTGCAAAGTAATAACGTGGATGATCTAACTGAAATTATACTTATTTTGTTGTACGTTAGGTAATTTTTCACATATTACCTTGGCAAATTTAGAACGAAAGATGCGTAAAAATATCACCCCCCGACAAGCTACAATTCACTCCATTTCCATTATTTCGCTATGAAAATCTGTATCATCACCGTCATTTTCAAATTCCGATTCTAAATCAGATTCACCTAGCGAAATAATGAAAGGAGATATAGATTCGTACGAAAGATTTCCCATATTTTTTTCCCAATCTACCAAAATAAGTTTTTCACAATGTTTACAAAAATTTTGCCACATGCTTGGAGTACATTTAGAAAGCGCCTCAAGCTATAAATTCTCCACCTTATTTTTTAATGAAGGTTAAGAATTTATATGCTTGTTGTAATAGTTCTTACAAAATCCCCACGCCATTACAATTGGTTTATATCAGTGGTTCGCAAACTTTTATTGTTGATGGCACCCTAAAATATTAAACAAAATTTGGCGGCACCCCGCCAAGAACAGTTTTAATTGTAACTAATTTATTATCAAAAACACTTTATCACATGATTGTATAATATGTAATTGATGTTAAGATTGTTTTATAAATAGTTGTTTTCCATAATTTAAGCTTGTCTTTTAAAGACAACATTTTTTCACTGGAGGTTAGAATATTTTCATTTCTACCTTGCATACTTGAATTAACATATTTTATTTAAGTGTTCAAAAATATTAGTTAAATATGCTAGTTTTGCACACCAGACGTGGTCTTGAAGGAGGTCAAAAAATTGTTCGATATTTTCTGATTCAAAAAACTTTTATATCTGTTTTCTTAATTTCCAAAATCGGGCCTTTAGATAGCCATCGTACTTCAGTATGAAGAAAATTAACATGTTCAGAACACATTTTCGATTACTAAACAGTTGCACCATATTAATAAAATAAGATCATCAATTATTATTCTTTAAAGTTGTTTTTGTGCTTATATTTATTAAAATCATTATAAAATTTTGACGGCACCCTCTTGGGGGTTCTGCGGCACCCCAGTGTGCCGCGGCACCCAGTTTGCGAACCACTGGTTTATATTGACAATGGTACGGAGGTAATCTAAGAACTTCATGGCCACTTTCTCTTAATGTCTCTTCTATCAAATATCTTTTTTTTTCTATTATTTCTGAGGGTTTAATTAAATCCCACAACTGTTTCTTCAAAAATTTTTTGTCAAATTCAACACTATGTTTAAAGAACCATTCCTGCATTTCACATTTTTTACTAAAGAAAGTGGGTGGTTTATCCAACTGAACATTGATACGGTGCATTGTCTAAAACAACCACACATTTTTGGTTCAATTTTGCCAAAGCTGGAATGAGCTGATTCACCACCCAATTTCGAAAAATTGTCCCGTCCATCGTTTTATGATAGTCCCTATCGTTATTTTTATAATTTAAAAAAATTGTTACAACCGTCCAAGACCCCGTTGAACAACCCGCGTGGAGAATAGTAAACCTTGATCTTTCACTTTTAATTTTGGTGGGATTGCTTTTTAGATCAGTATCGTGCACCCAGCGACGAATGGACGAACCATTTTGTTTCATGCAAATACACGAAAGTCAAATTTTCACAAGAATTTAGAAATTGTTAATATGTTCTCAAAAAAGTAATTTTGGCTGAAACGACATGTTTTGTTCACATAGAATTTTGCGACCATTTACTTTCCTGTGTTTATAACCCATTGACTTAAGAATTTTGTATAATGTGGTTCGCCCCCCTTTAAATTCCAACTGTTCCCTAGAATATGCCAAAAGAGAATCTACAGTGAAATATTCGTTTTTTTCATTAAGTTGCCAAATTTGTCGTTGCAGGTCTTTCCGAAACATATAATTTGTAAATAAATCTGTTGGTTTTCGCTTGCCAGATAGTGATGTTTTTAAATTTTGGTCCCCTGTTGATAAAATTTTCGCCACAGTTGATGTTCCCACCTATGAAAAAAAAAATTAAAAAATATTTTGCAGCGTATTTTTACATTACAGAAAATATGTTCGACAGCCTCATAGTTACTTCTTCAAAAGAAAGGTCGGGCTTGTGTTTTCGAAACTGCAAAAAACATCCTTTTATTGCAATTTTTTGTTGCAGTAAAACTATTTTAAGCATTTTCTTTTTAAATAATGTCGCAATGGTCTGTGAATCTGTCACAATGACAAATTATCTATGCTGACAAAATTAAAACATTTGTTTGCTTGATTAAAAAATTGCGTCTAATAATTCTGATCTAATAAATGAAGTAGAAAAGTAGCAATCCAGCTCAAAGCAAATGTGAATCGGACTAGACAGACAAAAAACTAAATCATCAAATCAGTTTATCCAACTTAAAGAAAAAATATCAAGCCTACTTGACTATACAAAGATCGTGAATGGATAATACTGTCAAAACTCTCAATATGATGACTTAAAATGTGTGACTGTTTGTCTTTAAAAGAAAAAACAAAAGCGAAACATATAAGTGTTGATCTGGGTTTGGGATTATAATGTGAGTACTGCGTATAAACAAGCAAACGACAAAATCAAATCTGCTATTTTTGGACAAGTTTCATATCAATCAAATGTTTCTCTAAAGTCTTTGTCTTTGTATTACCAAAATGTACGTGGATTCAATTCTAAAACCACTTTTTTTCTAAACGTCCTTTATACTACAAGTTTTGACTTGCTTTGACTCCCCGGTTCGCATCGCTGAGGCTATGATCATTTGATCTTTATGACAACTCCAACTGTTATTCTAAAAACACTTTTTTTCACTAGCAGCCTGGACGCATGCAAATGTCGACTCATTTAGTGGTAGCAAATTCAACTTTTGCTACCACGGGTTCAAAAAGAAAAATTGAGGTTATGTACGCAATGTTTGATGTGATTATTTCTTAAAAAATGAACAAATATGTGCTACAAACATTACTTGAGTATACGCATGGTAGTTGGTAGACGGTAGAAGATAAAATGATTAACTCAGCGACAAGTGTAAACGGTTTTCTTTGTGTTGAAGATTTAGATCAAGTTTGATTAGAAATCGAAACAAAATCATGTTGCGTCAAAAAATTGAACGTTTATTTTTCAGTTTATTGTCTTATTGTTTCTACTAGTGAAAAAAATAGTATATTAACCACGGTTGCAAAGCCACTTCTAGACCTCGCACTTAGAGCCCTCGACGCTGCGCGTCTCGGGTTGTAATTTGCGCTCGGTCTAGAATGCTTGGCTCTGCAACCTTGGCTAATAATATACTATTTCATACCTGTAGTCTACACATATTGTAAAGAAACTTCTTACTTGTAAACAGTGAATCGTACATTATGTAAGTGCAGCCACCGCAAATGCATCACTACTAACTATAAGGATAATCATCTCTGATTTTAAAGGAAGACAAAAAACTCCCTGACCTAAAATATTTCAGATCCACACTGCAAAATGGACTGGAAAGTTGCCCTTAGTGCCTTCGTTATCTTTATCTTTTTCTTGTATAAGGGTGCAGAAGCTGCCCATGAGTGTTATTTTTGTCTTAAAAAGTGCAAAGATCCTCTTGAGAAAATGACATGTTCTGCCTCACAGAAGTGTATATCGGAAAACGTTACAAAACGTAAGAAATAAAAATCACTTAAACAAACTACACATTGTGTTGAAATTATGTAAGATGCAAAGTTTTATTGATAAAATTTACGTCTTTTTGTATTTTTGTATAGGACCCAACACGAAGGTAACAAAATCTTGCATTCACCCTGTTGATGTGGTTGTAGCCGCATGTGAAGAGATAAATAAACAAGAGGGAAATAGTTGTAAGATATGTGATTCAGACCTGTGCAATTCAGGAGAAATACACATTTTCTCTTTAGTTTTATTATGTGCAATCATAATCCTTTGTAGAGTTAAGTAGGTAATTAGATACAATTTGTGTAAAGAATAAATACTTTTTAAATAAATCTTCACGTTCTTGTATTACATCCTAGAAATACAACAGTTTTTTGGTTACTATTAAAGGAACAAGATATTGCAAAATGTTGATTAATTTGGGGCAACAGATGAATGAAGGTGCCCGAGTCAGCCGAAGTGAGAGGTTCAAAGAATTACAAGCAGCACTACAGTCAATAATTTACTTGTTTGCTTAAAATTTATTATTTCAGTTAAAGTACGTTGACTCCTCGATAAACATCGCTGAGGCTAACATCAATAAATCTGTCATTAATGTGTCATAACCATAAGAACTCCATTTGTTTTTCTAAAAACATTTTTTTGCAACAGTAAATTCTTGTACCTCTCTGTACTTGTAAGAGTGAATCGTACATTATGTAAGTACAGGCATTGCATAACACATCACTACTGATCTGTAAACATAATCATCTTTGATTTTAACCGAAATTTTCCTACGATCACAATGAAGATACTCTGACCTAAAGTATTTTAGATCCACAATGCAAAATGGAATTCAAGATTGCGCTTACTGCCGTCGTTATCTTTTCTTTTTTTTTGGGTAAGGGCGCAAAAGCTGCTCAAGAGTGTTATTATTGCGATGGAAAATGTGCCGATCCTATGCATACAACAAAATGTTCCGAGTCACACAGATGTAAGGCGCAAACAATGATTGACAGTACGTAAAAAAACACTTATAGAAACTATTACCTACACTGTATTGAAATTTGTATTTTTGTATAGAAACTTTCAAATCGGAACATAAAGATTGCCTACGAAATTCTGAGGTTGATGTTTTCATGAACACATGTGAAGAGCTACGTAAAATAGCAGAGCCCACTGTAGAACATGTGATTCAGGAGAAACATACCCTTTCTCTTTAATTTTATTATGCGCAATGACAATAATTCTTTGCAAAATTATGTAGTTTATTATAGCATTGCGGAATCTGCAAGTTTTTGTATATTGGAGTCTGCAAATAATAGTTATTTACACACGAAAATTGTATTCAATTTTTTCCCCCGACATTGATTTTATTTTAAAAAATATTTATTTTTAAAAATATTCTCCGAAATTTAAATAAATGAAGTGACATTTTCGACACTTGACGTTTACTGAAGGAATCTATAATACCGACAACCACGAGATGGCGGCATGTGAATTTTTTTTAAATAATTCATTTTTTCTAATTCAAAAGTTTTGATTGAACAAAGCATGATGTAAAGTAGTGTTCTAGTATGTTTTTTTTATTATTTGTACAGAACTTTTTTTATTAGAGCTTCTAGAGGCTAATGCATATTGAGTTACTTTGGCACCCAAAGGCGGTAAAGCGTGTCCAACGTGTATGAATGTTTTGTTTACATGTCAGGAGGGGAGAAAACAATTTTCTGGTTACTATAAGGAACAAGATTTGTAAAACTTTCGTTACTTGAAAGTACTTGAAGTCTTTTCGATCTAACCGATCAATGGCATAGTAGTAAATTTATTTAGATAAACAACACATCCATCCGAACTGCATGTAAATTAAAAAATTGGTCTAAAGAGTTTAGACAGTACTTCCCTCGCTGTCGGAAACTTGACGACTGCATGGCTATTGTGTTTTTTTCTCATTACATTTTTGTAGTGGGAATTTAAAAAAAATTGCGATGACGTCATCAACATTTTTGCAAGGACACGTATATCAGTTGGGATAGATGTAGTGTAATACTAAGAATAAAATTATTGTATTCCCAAATTTTCGGGAAAATGAATTGGGTCGTTTTGAATATTGATTTTTTATAATCAATAAAATAACGAAACAATTTACTCGCGTATACGGCAACTGAAAATCGTTTATGTATAAACATTCTTAATTTAAGATGACAAGCGTAACAGCATACGTGAGAGTCGAACAGAGAAACTGTAAACAAAACGACCATCGGTTTTATTGCTTCGACTTCCGCTTATTATATAAAACATTGGGTTTTATTTTAATTCTTGACGGTGAAATTCACAATTGGTTGATTATAAACAAGTCTATTCCACATTCGCGGAACCAAGTGAGTGCATAAAACAAATGCAGGTCTGTAATGTTAAAGTCGATGTAAATAAGCATGCTACCCTTATGTTTCAACCGAGTTTTTCCTTTAACAAATTTTGTGTCTACCAAATTGGGTTGGTTGGGGTGTAATACTAATAATAAGTGTTGCCTTTAATTTAATCAATAAAATAAATTGACTTCATTAATTTTTTTGAACCACCTCTTAAGAAAATCTAAAAAATATGAATGGAATGATAAATCACAAGTACAAACTCATCATATTTTTTGCATTTTAGATAGGATTTATTCAGCAAAATTTAAGGGTGACGTCATCAATTTTTTTAGGAGGGATGAACAAATACATTTTGAACAAAAGTTTACCATGCTTATAATAACTTTAAAATATTCCCAAGATTTCAAAGCATTCGGTTTTGTAATTCCTGATTAAATCGATAAAATAAATTCACGCCTTCATTAATTTTTTTGAGTCACCCTGCATATGCAAATCCAAAAATATGAATGGAATGATAAATCACAAGTACAAACTCATCATATTTTGTACATTTTAGATACGATTTATTCGGCAAATTTTCGAGCTGACGTCATCAAGTTTTTGGAGGGGATAAGCAAATATATTTTGACTAAACATTTATTATGCTCTTTATAACCTTAAAACATCTGCAAGATGTCAGAGCATTCCGTTTTGTAGTTCCTGATTAAATCAATAAAATATATTTACGCATTCATTAATTTTTTTGAGGCACTCTGTATATGCAAATCCAAAAAATATGAATGGCGTGATAAATGACAAGTACAGACTCATCATATTTTGTACATTTTAGATATGATTTATTCGGCAAACTTTCGAGCTGACGTCATCAAGTTTTTGGAGGGGATAAGCAAATATATTTTGACTAAACATTTATTATGCTCTTTATGACCTTAAAACATCTGCAAGATTTCAGAGCATTCGGTTTTGTAGTTCCTGATTAAATCAATAAAATATATTTACGCATTCATTAATTTTTTTGAGTCACCCTGTATATGCAAATCCAAAAAATATGAATGGAGTGATAGATCACAAGTACAGACTTATCATATTTTGTACATTTTAGATATGATTTATTCCACAAACTTTTGAGCTGACGTCATCAAGTTTTTGGAGGGGATAAGCAAATATTTTTTGACTAAAGATTTATGATGCTCTTTATAGCCTTAAAACATCTGCAACATTTCAAAGCATTCTGGTTAGCAGATTAAAAATTAAATTTCAAAATGTTGTTTTATAATTTTGATTTTTTTTCCAAAAATCTGGACGTTTCGGGTGAAAAGTCGATTCAGAGTTGTAAACTACATGTGTAGGACTATGTTATTTTATACAATTGAAGACCCATTTACTATGTACAATTTTGAAGTGACGTCATCGCATTAGTGGTGGGGATGATTAGACAAATTTTGGTTAGCGTTTTACCATCTACATGATATTCCTAATATAAGTACAAAATTTCACAACAATCGGTCCAGTACTTTCGGAGATTATCTGTCTAATAAAAATCCGGGACGGCAGACGGACAGACGGACAGACGGACGGACAGACGGACGGACAGACGGACAGACGGACAGACGGACAGACGGACAGACAGACGGAAATGGGAGACCTATTTCTTCGTCTTCTAGGGGTCATGAAAGATCGAGAAAACGTAAAAGTAGAGAGTCGGCCGACGAACTCGATTACAATACTTCCTTTGCTTACGCTCGGGAAGTAAAAACAGAAACATTTTCAAACTTTGGCCAATAAAACAATTGATTTTTATTTATTTTTTAATGATTTTTTTTAAATTAATATATGTTATATAAATATGTATATAATATGTCAAATGTGTTCTCCCGTAAACAATTTTTTTTTGGTGTAAGAAGTTGGCTTATGCTGGTAAACACCCGCTCGACAAGTGCAGAAGAAAAAACTAATTTATGCTAATTAAAAAAATTAATCAGTATATAAGACGTAATTATTATTTTGTAGAAATAAAAATACCTGTAAAGAAATTTTTTACAGTAAAAAAATTACTCCTATTTAATAAAACAAATAACGATTGTTGCATTGAAAAATCACTCAGAGTAGGCGTTGCAATATCATTTGACACAAACGGCATGTCTGTTCTTATAACATACAGCATATAACAGGTTACCGCGGGTTGTTGTTGGGTTTATTGTAAAATGCAGTGAATAGTGAACCATACTTAGTATTAACGGACCTCAACTTTATTACCCTTCAGGATTATATTTAAAGATGGATAGTACTAAAGGTTACAATATAGAAAAAGATGGTATTCAAAATATGAGAGTTTCGGTGAACATATGATTAAATAGCTTAATATTAGTCACAGAACTCTATTAGTGGACCACAATAACTAACTACCAACTAATAAAAAAAACGTAAAATAAAAAAGATGTATCTGTACAGTAAACTCACTTGACATACACCTTGTAAAACTTTTATTACTTAAGCGGCTTAAGCCAAACAACGCTTATATGTCAAACTGGTTAGTGTAAGCTTCATGAACCCGAACCGCAAGAATTATTACTGTCCATTGTTGTCATAATGGAGCTGTGAACTGAGTTAAGTTATATAGTTAAGGGTGCTTTGGCTTAAGCCGCTTAAGTTACAAAAGTTTTACAAGGTGTATGTCAAGCGAGTTTACTGTACAGATACATCTTTTTTACGTTTTTTTTACAAGGTGTACGTCAAATGAGTTTACTGTATCTGTGGCGTTTATTTTTTATCTAGATACAGATATTTTGTGCTTAAATTTGATTTAATCTATTTACAGATCATAGATAACCAAATATTTATCTAGATAATTTATTTAGAAACAAAGATCTAGATAATGCTCAACATACATATTTTGCCATTATCTGTATACCTACCTTTCTGCGTTCTGTGTTTCATATGTGTAAATCGTGCTTCTCAGCTTACTACACATTAAAATACAGGGCACTTCAGTTGTAAGAAGTGCATCGCACATGGCCCCCGAATGCCACTCTTTGTCGCGAGCTGATTTATCTCGATTGCCCACCAGATCCATATATTTCCTTTTGTCCCATCTATCCAGTTCCCGTTCTCTCCCCATGTGTTAAGTTTTATGGTACCACATGTTCATTTTTCTGAGGAAGTCGTTAGAAAGTGCCTAGCCCTTTTTGTTGAATTTCAAGAAAACGGTACAGTTTTATAATGATCATGATGGATGGACACAAAGGCAGAGAAGCGTTTTGTTCGAGAAATCCCGTTATCAAAATGGAGTGATGCGATTTCCTCGCTTTGTAAATATGTACATATATTTTGATAAAAGAAAAGATTGTAAATTCGGATGGATAACAGGCCTAGATCTAGCCTACCACAGGTGAAATGAAGTTTGCGATTCCATCTAGGGGAAACCAAGTCACAGGTAACAGAAGATATGATGGGTTCGCGATCTATGACTGGCTATACTAATTAAATCGGGAGCCAGTGGCCTCCAAAAAGCTGTTCGATAGATTTATTTTCTTTTACAATGTGAGGGTAACTAATATGTTAGAAAACTAGTTTTTGATAAGAATATGTGAATCGACAAGGATTTGAGCGGTTTGCTGGTTTGGTTCGAGAGAGAACGAGAAGGCACTTCATTTCAACGCAGAGGTTGCATCCCATTGGTTTTTCTTTGTTAGCCCTCTGATGCCGGGTGGAGTCTCCACTTTTGGCGAAGTGATAAAAGCTTAGTTTTGGTCAATTTTTGTCAGTTCTCTGGTCGGGATTTTTTAGTGTGCCACATGTTCCTTCTCGACGTGAAATTTGCTTTTAAATTTAATTTTGTACAGTGCATTTCATTTTGCTCACAGTGTTTAAATTTTCATTTTTTTTTCAATTTGTAGATATAACCGTGAGCGGTGATCCATTTGTTCATTTGGCAATTTTTCTAATTTTAACTCATTTAGTGTGTACCAATAAATAAGTGGGACTTTCTTTTTTTTTGTGGACTTTGCAGCCAACCGTTCCAATTAAAAATAATAGTGACTTAAAACCGTGGAACCAGTGAATGACCCCGTGCCAACGAGCAGCGAAAAGGGAAATTTAGAAAGGTAAGGGAATTCCGCTTTTTCTGTGTTGTGCGATTGGCCCTTCTCAAGTAGAAGACCATATAAAATCACGCTACTCAATTTAACATTTTCGATAATATTAGTCATGAACTTCTGTTGCAAAAGTTACGCCCTTTTGATTTCAGTGAATCCCTAATCTTATTATTTAGGTCATATTTGAGCAACCGGAAACAATACGTCACATACAACGGTTTTAAATCTTATGATGTTACACCCTGTTCAGGCGTGCCCCAAGGCTCTAATCTTGGGCCGTTATTATTTATACTTTTCACCAGTGACATCACAAATATTTTGAGACCTGATCTTTTCATACACCTCCTATTGTTTGGTGATGACCTCAAGATTTTGAACATCTTATAACATAAATTAGTGCATTTAATACAAGTGTCCGCTAATAATTAGTGACAGAAAGAAGAAGGCCGCTACTTAATATGGTTAGGTAATTTTAGATCCATAGTATCATATTATTCATATTATATGCACTGGTCTAGATGATGCCACATTTACGGAGATGTTAATGGGGTTGTAATGTTTGCAGTTTTCAAACAATTTCAAGTATTAGCCCTACGGTGTTACCATCTTCTCTTGCTATATATTCCAATGAACTAGAAACCATACTAAAGTTATAAATGGATTTTATCATTCGTCTATCCACTGCAAGAGTAAAAAACCTACTTGCCCCCAGTGTACCGGTGCATATATACTGTAAAAATTATCAATTTGATGTCTTAAAATGTGTGAACTGCTTGTCTTTAAAAGAAAATACAAAAGCGGAAAATATGTGTGTACTGCGTCATAAACAATCAAAACACAAAGTTAAATCTGATGTTTTTGGACAAGCCTCATAGACATCAAATGTGTCTCTAAAGTCTTCATATTACCAAAATTTACCCACCTTTTTGGAAGGAAAAACTACTGAAGAGGACCTTGAAAGGATTTAAAGCCATTCGCCTTTGAGTTAATAAGTTCAAGAGTGGGAGAACATCCGTTGAAGCAGCAGTCTAGAGGACCAAAATCTTCCGTCATACCAGAAATAATTGACAAAGTTCATAATAGGGTTTTAGGCAACAGATGAATGAAGGTCCCTGAGTCAGCCGAAGCGAGAAGTACAAAGAGTTACAAACAGTACTACAGTCGATAATTTACTTGTTTACTTAAAATTTATATCAATTAAAGTTGCTTGACTACTCGATAAACATCGCTGAGGCTAACCTCACTTGATCTGTCATAATGTGTCACTCCATTTGTTATTTTATAAACATTTTTATAACAATAAATTCTTGTACTTCTATGTACTTGTAAGAGTTAATCGTACATTATGTAAGTATAGCCACTGCATAACACGTCTCTACTGATTTGTAAACATAATCATCTTTGATTTTAAGGGAAATTTTCAAAAAAAGATACTCTGACCTAAAGTATTTTAGACCCACACTGCAAAATGGAATCCAAGATTGCGCTTACTGCCTTCGTTGTATTCACTTTTTTGTTGTGTAAGGGCGCAAAAGCTGATCAAGAGTGTTATTATTGCCAGCGAAAATGTGCCAATCCTATAGAAACAACAACATGTTCCGAGTCACAGAGATGTGTGACGATCACAATTTTTTTAACAAGTAGGTCAAAAAAACACTTACATAGAAACTATTACGTACTCTGTATTGAAATTTGTATTTTTATTTGTATTTTTGTATAGCAGGTGCCCAATGGCAAATGAAAGGTTGCATAGAAGATTCTGATGTTCGTGAGTTTAGAGACACATGTGAAGAGCTACTTAAAGACGGAAGCGGCAATTGTAGAATATGTGATTCAGATTTGTGTAATTCAGGAGAAATATACACTTTCTCTTTAATTTTATTATGCTCAGTGACAATAATTCTTTACAAAATTATATAGTTTATTATAGCACTCCGGAATCGACAAGTTTTTGTATAGCAGAGTTTTGCAGACTAAAACAACTTTCTGGTTTTGTCTTTTTTTGTAAAACTTTCGTTCTTTGAATGTTGAAAGAAGTCTTTTCGGTGTAACTGATCAATGGCATATTAGTAAATTTACTCAGAAAAACAACACATCCATTTGAACTTCATGTAAATTAAAAAATAGAGGTAAGCAAAAAAATCAAAATTACCTATACAGAACTTTAATAATATTTTCGTATGTTTTAGAAGTTGTTATGTGGTGCCATCCACAACATATTTTGTCATTACCAGTATTCTTTTCTATGTTCTGTGTTCCATATGTGTGAGTCTTGCTTCTCAGCTTACTCCACATTAAAATAGAGGGCATTTCAGTGAAAATGAGTCCTAAATTACTCATCTGTTGATTCATTTTGAAATTGAAAACAGGTCAATTTTCATTACCAGGACACATTTGAAGTGTTACTTTGTAACTGCTTGTTTAATTCACTTGGTGTATAAATAGCTATTAACGTTCAATACAAATAGCTATTTATGTAACAAGTACATAAACCAGGTTTTTATTGACAAGCCGATTTTAGTAGACGAGGGAGCGTAGCGACCGAGTCGATAAAAAAGGCGCGTCAATAAAGCCGGTTTATGTATGCGTTACATACAAGGCTTTATGTCTGATTGCAACAATTATTATAATTTAAAAAAATAAAAATTAAGGAAAACCAATTGCAAAATAAATTTCAGAAAATCTAGTCTACTTTTTCATTGTTACTGCAGTAACCCATTGTCTGTTTACACAAGTGAAAATTATTTTGATTTTTGGTGTTTGCGTTTAAAGTTGAAAAATGCAAGCTAGTACATCGAACCAAGCAGAAAGTGAGATAACAGAGATTCAGTGACGGCTCGTCAGGGACGGCAGGGTCGGCCAGGCCGTACCAAATAATTTGAGAAATAAGAAAAGATTTTTTTTTGAAAATCCAAATTTTTTATTAGCATTTTTGAAAAACTGATATGGTAAAATGTACTATAATTTATAAAAATTAAAAAATTAATAAACAAATAAATAAAAATAATTACTATTAATTTCTAATAATGAAGTCACAGTTTAATGTTTTAAATTCATCCCGGAGAGAAATTGTTTTACTATGTCAAATGCCTATATAGACACGGGCCCGGCCGGCCGATGCGTTGAAAAATTACCAACAGTAATCTACGAGCTACGGCTTTTGCTTTCCGATCGGTATATGGCTGCGTTAAGTTACAATTCTGGCGTAGATTGAAACACACAACATCGGCCCATGGCGCTCTGGCCGATTTTGCCGCAGACGCAGACGACACAATGGATGCGGCGCGCTCGTTTCTACTTATCGCTCTTTTATTTTATTCATTTCCATATTTACAGTTTTTCATTATCCTTAATTAATACCTTAATGTAAATACAAGATTCTGAATTATAAATTATTAAGAACTGATTAAAGAATTGTGCATGTCAAGCATAAAGTTTCAAAATTTAAGAAAGTCGTTAATAATGTAATTTAGTTGGGTAAAATTGGATGATTCAAACAATAAGTACTGCAATCTTTTTATCAATCAGTTGATCACATATATCTTAATACGGTATATTCCTAACTGTAGAGTGTTGAAATTGTATTCATCTCCTCTAATAAATAATATTTTACATAAAATAGCCCGTGAATTCCCGTATAGTTTCCACCCACGGTCGGCCGGCCGGCTCGGTTATAGCAATCCAACGTACTTGGACGATTAGTAAACCGAAGATGAACGAACGATGAATATTTTTGACCAGTGTTGGTTGCACGTTGGACGAAGCGCTTGATTGAATTGGTAAATAATTAAATATACTTATATTAATTCGTATAAAAACTCAGGATGGACACTTTTCGCAATATAGTTGACACGAATGGCGACTTGGTTAATTATTTATTAATATATAAATTTAAAGAATTAACTTATGGCCATAAAGTTTTTGTGAAGCAACGTTAATGATCGATTTGATTCAAACGAAGCCTGGTCATAATCGTGCATTTTCTAAAACACTACTGTAAATGTCCTTAGTTAGCTGGCAGCGAAACACGTAACAAATTATTTTGCTGGTATTGTTTATTATTTTCGGAATCCAAGAACCCTTATAATTCTAGTTAGTAGTTATGATAATTTAAAAGAAGTTCATCGTGCACTGGCCAAACGCAAAATTTCAAAGGAGCATATTCATTTGACTCTAAAATTTAAATTGTTCGGAAAACACAATATCGCAAATTCGTTGGATAGTGCCAGATACGAATACATATATAAATAAATACAATGAAACTGTTCGAGAAAACAGAATTATGGTAAAGCATTTAATAAATATGATTATTTTTCTGTCAACACAAGAAATGGCATTTCGAGGTAACGATGGAACAAGTGGTTCGGATAATCAAGGCAACTTTAAGGAGTTAGCAAAATTTGCTGCAACAATCTAATGTCAAATTTCAACAAATTCATTGATTCTTCTTCTGTTTTCACCGGGTTATCGAAAACAATTCAAAATGATCTAATTGATTCAATTTCCAAAATTGTAAGCCAAGTAATTCATAAAGAAATTAATGTTGCTACGTGTTTTTCGTGGGAAATAGATGGGACTACAGATATCAGTTGTTTTTTACAAATGTCTGTCATTTTTCGATTTGTTCCCAATGGTAAATTATTAGAACGATTTCTCTGTTTCTTAAATGTTAGTGAAGGATGAACTGCACACGATATTTTCAGTGTGTTAATGAATAGTTTTTCCCATTTTAACATTGAAAAAAAAATTAATCAGTGAAACATATTACGGGGCTGGGGCGATGGCGAGAGAATTGAATGGATTACAAAGAAAAGTTAAATCAATTGCAGCGCAAGCACTTTTTACGCACTGTTATGGACACAAAATTAATTTAGTGCTGCAAAACTCTTGTAAAAATATTAAAGAATGTAGATTTTTTTTCAAACGTATCAGGATTTACAGCTTTTTTTACAAAGTCAACCAAACGTACAAATCTCCTAGATAAAATTTGCAAAAAGAGATTACCTGGTAACTCAGAAACTCGCTGGAACTTTAAATCTCGCGCTGTAAAAACTTTATTTGATAACCGAACCACTTTGATTAAAATGTTTTTGATTTTATAATTGAGAATGTAGACGACTGGGATATTTCGATCAGGCAGTTTTTTCTATAGTTCAAAATAAATTGTCCGACATAACTTACTGTAACGACAGAATTCTCTCACTTCTATCCACTTTAAAAAGAATTCGAAATGAAGATCATTATTTTTCAAAGATATATTCTGATGTTGAAGAGATTGCTACTTTAAGATTGCTGATATAGCTCCTCCATCTGCGAAACGGCGTAAAACTGATTTAACAAATGACAATGACATTTTATTAACTAAAAAACGTTTACTAATTAAAGTTATCCTCATGTTTGGCCGACCCACGTTTTTTTGGCACGAGCCGTCACTGCAGAGATTGCTAGGAATGTTAAAGAGTCTTTACTATCATCAAAATCAAGACATTTATACGAAGAAACTTACAACCTTCATTGGAAGTGGTGCTCTAAAAAGAACGTCAAATCAACGTCGGAAGAGAGTATTTTGGTGTAAGTCACTACAGAGCTTTCCTCATATGAAAAGACATGGGGGCTGGCCTTCATCAATTGTAGCGGAGGGGTATATTGATAAAACTGCTAAAATTAACGTTGTGGAAAAAATTCTAGGCACAAATCTTTCGGAAAAAGATGTTGCTGAAGATATGCTCATGTGGAAAAGCAGAAGCAGTAATAGAAGCAGAAGCAGTAATAGAAACAAAACCAGTGAAATGCGACAAGGAAAATATCCAATATACGCTTTCTGGTAGTAGTTATGTTGTAAATATTAAACATTGCGATCATGCCTAGATTATTTTAGTTAGTAAGTTTGATTGTATTCACGAAAACTTTAATAAAAACAAGTGTAAAATAAAGTTGTCTTTATTGCACTAGTACCATAAAGTACCACATTACGGCCGCTAAATAATAAAATAAAGTAACGTTTATAGAGCAATCGGACATAAACAATTTTTCAGAACTTTAGTCTACACATGTTTTAAAAAAACTTCTTACTTGTAAACAGTGAATCATACATTATGTAAGTACAGCCGTCGTATAAGGCTGATGAGCAAAACATCAATTTGAATTGTGCATAAAATAACAAATAAATGCTTAAATGACATTAACTTGAACATGCTGTTGAAACTAATGCTGTAAATGTTTGTTTCATTGGCCTGGAAAAATTAAAATAAATACTAAATAATAATAATGTTCTTTTGGAGAAAAGTTTTATTGATAGATAATACTTTAGTTTATACAGTATCAGCTTAAGTAAACTCACAACTCAATATTTTATCTTGCCACCATTAGCGTGCAAACGTTTTTATAGCCTAGAAGACATGAAAAGACTAAATTCCTATGATAGTAATCCTCTTCCAGCGTAGAGATTTTGGATCTACCACCTGTTTGCCGATTTGTTTCAATTAAATTGCCCCTCGTGTTTGCAGTGTACGGGGACAATTCCCAACATTTATCAAGAGCTTTTTATTAAATTTACATATTTTATAGTTGTACTCGCCTTTAGTCAAAGGATTGTTTACGCCCTTGGACTATTAAAGGCTCTCTTCGTCAAAACTCAAACTTCGCCCATGGGCGTAAACTGTTTCTTCCTATCTTTCTAGGTAAATAAATATTACAGCTTAATGCTTTTCTTTACTTTAGCAACAGAAAACCAATCACTTAGTTATGTGTGAATTCTGGGAGTATTTACCTCAAACTAACGGACAATTTCAAATTTTTGCTGCATCTTTTGAAAAATGAGGCGCATAATTTTTTTTTCTGTCTACATGAGAAAGTGTGAGAAATCTTTGACGATTGTTTAACAAAAGCTTTCTTTTCAGACACAAAGTTACATTAATCTGTGCTTTAATGATTGCACTTTTTTAACCCCTAGACTGAAAAAGAGGAGTGTTATCACTTTGAGGCCCTGTGTGTGTCTGTGACACCGTAGCTCCTAAACGGATGAACCAATTTCAATGCGGTATCTTTCACTGGTTCAATCGTGAAAGGTGCTTTGCTTACTAGTGTGTCGAGTGATTTTATTTAAACAAAGAGAAAATTGCAATTCGTAGGGTGATCCAGTTCTTCTTTTTGAAGGGAAAACAGCTAAAGAAATCCATGAGAGGAATTTTCCTACAATGAACGATTTATATATTCTTCTTAAAGCCATTCGCTTTGAGTTCAAGAGCGGGAGAACATCCGTTGAAGACGCACTCTGCAGGACCAAAATCTTTCGTCATACCATAAATCACTGACAAAGTGTTCATAATAGGATTTTGGGCGATAGATGAATGAAAGTGCGTAAGTCAGCCGAAGTGAGATATGTAAAGAGTTACAAACAGCACTACAGTCAGTTAAAGTGCCTTGACTCCTCGATGAACATCGCTGAGGCTAACATCACTTGATCTGTCATATGGTGTCATAACAACTCCATTTGTTATTTTAAAAACATTTTTTATAACAATAAATTCTTGTGGTTCTCTGTACTTGTATGTGAATCGTACATTATGTAAGTACAGTCACTGCATAACACGTCACTACTGATGTGTAAACATAATCATCATTGATTTTAAGGGAAGTTTTCCTATGATCACAAAAAAAAGATACTCTGACCTAAAGTATTTTAAATCCACACTGCAGAATGGAATTCAAGATTGCACTTACTGCCTTGGTTATCTTTACCTTTGTTTTGCGTAAGGGCGCAAAAGCTAATCTAGAATGTTACTATTGCAATGGAAAATGTGCCGATCCTATAGAGACAAGAACATGCAGCTTCGAGTCAGAGAAATGTGTGACACGAACATATTTTAGAAGTAGGTAAAAAACACTTATAGAAACTATTACCTATTGAAATTTGTATTTTTTATTTGTATTTTTGTGCAGAAGGTTCCAGATGGGAAACGAAAGATTGCATGGAAGATTCTGAAGTTCATGAGTTTATGGAAATATGTGACGACCTAAGTGAACTAGGAGACGCCCACTGTAGAGTGTGTGATTCAGATTTGTGTAATTCGGCAGAAATGTACATTTTCTCTTTAATTTTATTATGCGCAACGACAATAATTCTTTGCAAAATTATGTAGTTTATTCTAGCATTCCGGAATGTACAAGTTTTTGTTTAGTAGAGTCTGAAAATAAAACAACTTTCTGGTTACTATTTAAGGAACAAAATTTGTAAAACTTTCGTTACTTGAATGTTAAAGTAAGTCTTTTTGATGTAACTGATCAATGGCATATTAGTAAATTTTCTTAGATAAACAACACGTCCATTTGAACTGCATATAAGTTAAAAAATATCTAGGCAAGCATTAAAACCAAAATTATGTATAGAGAACTTTGGTAATATTTCCATAATACCTATATTTTAGAAGTTTATGGGGTGCCATCCACAACAAATTTTGCCATATCAGTATTCTTTTCTGTGTTCTGTGTTCCATATGTGTAAATCGCGCTTCTCAGCTTACTACACATTAAAATACAGGGCAGTCAATTTTACTTCCCGAGAGTAAGCGAAGGAAATATTGTAATTGAGTCGGCGACCAACTCTCTATTTTTACGTTTTCTCGACTTTTCCGTTTCCCTCTGTCTATCTGTCCGTCTGTCCGTCAATCTCACCTCTCTGATTTATATTAGACAGATAATCTCCGAAAGTACTGGGCCGATTGTTGTCAAATTTTGGATTTATATTAAGGATGTCATGTAGATGGTAAAACGCTAACCAAAATTTGTTTAATCATCCCCACCAATAATGTGATGACATCACTTCAAAATTCTACATGTTAAATGGGTTCTAAATTGTATAAAATAGCATAGTTCTACACATGTAGTTTATGACTGCGTGTTGAGTTTTCACCCAAAACGTCCAGCTCTTTGGAAAAAATCAAAATTATAAAACAACATTTTGCAATTAAATTTTGAATCTGCAAAACCGAATGCTTTGAAATTTTGCAGATGTTTTAAGTTTACGATAGGCATGATAAATCTTTAATCAAAATATATTTACTTATCTCCTCCAAAAAATTGATGACGTCAGCTCAAAATCTTGTCGAATGCTATCTAAAATGTACAAAATATGATGAGTCTATAGTTCTGATTTATCATTCCATTCATATTTTTTAGATTTGCTTATACAGGGTGACTCAAAAAATTAATTCGTGAATTTATTTTATTGATTTAATCAGAAACTGCAAAATCGAATGCTTTGAAATCTTGGACATGTTTCAAAATTATCATAAGCATGGTAAATTTTCAAAATGTATTTGCTCATCCCCCCTAAAAAATTGATGACGTCAGTTCAAAATTTTGCTGAACAAATCCTTTCTTAAATGTGCAAAGTATTATGAGTCTATACTTGTGATTTATCGCTGCATTAATATTTTTTAGATTTGCTTATACGGGGTATCCTTTAAGTTTTCCCTATTTTTACTTCCCGAGCGTAAGCAAAGGAAGTATTGTAATCGAGTCCGTCGGCCGACTCTCTACTTTTACGTTTTCTCGATCTTTCATGACCCCTAGAAGACGGAGAAATAGGTCCGTCTGTCTGTCCGTCTGTCCGTCTGTCCGTCCGTCTGTCCGTCCGTCTGTCCGTCTGTCCGTCTGTCCGTCTGTCCGTCTGCCGTCCCGGATTTTTATTAGACAGATAATCTCCGAAAGTACTCGACCGATTGTTGTGAAATTTTGTACTTATATTAAGAATATCATGTAGATGGTAAAACGCTAACCAAAATTTGTCTAATCATCCCCACCACTAATGCGATGACGTCACTTCAAAATTGTACATAGTAAATGGGTTTTCAATTGTATAAAATAACATAGTCCTACACATGTAGTTTACAACTCTGAATCGACTTTTCACCCGAAACGTCCAGATTTTTGGAAAAAAAATCAAAATTATAAAACAACATTTTGAAATTTAATTTTTAATCTGCTAACCAGAATGCTTCGAAATGTTGCAGATGTTTTAAGGCTATAAAGAGCATCATAAATCTTTAGTCAAAAAATATTTGCTTATCCCCTCCAAAAACTTGATGACGTCAGCTCAAAAGTTTGTGGAATAAATCATATCTAAAATGTACAAAATATGATGAGTCTGTACTTGTGATCTATCACTCCATTCATATTTTTTGGATTTGCATATACAGGGTGACTCAAAAAAATTAATGAATGCGTAAATTTATTTTACTGATTTACTCAGAAACTACAAAACCGAATGCTTTGAAATCTTGCAGATGTTTTAAGGTTATAAAGAGCATAATAAATATTTAGTCAAAATATATTTGCTTATCCCCTCCAAAAAATTGATGACGTCAGCTCGAAAGTTTGCCGAATAAATCCTATCTAAACTGTAAAAATATGATGAGTCTGTACTTGTAATTTATCACTCCATTCATATTTTTTGGATTTGCATATACAGGGTGACTCAAAAAAATTAATGAATGCGTAAATTTATTTTATTGATTTAATCAGGAACTACAAAACCGAATGCTTTGAAATCTTGCAGATGTTTTAAGGTTATAAAGAGCATAATAAATTTTTAGTCAAAATATATTTGGTTATCTTCTACAAAAAACTGATGACGTCAGCTCAAAAGTTTGCCGAATAAATCGTATCTAAAATGTACAAAATATGATGAGTCTGTACTTGTGATTTATCATTTCATTCATATTTTTGGATTTGCATATGCAGGGTGACTCAAAAAAATTAATGAAGGCGTGAATTTATTTTATCGATTTAATCAGGAATTACAAAACCGAATGCTTTGAAATCTTGGGAATATTTTAAAGTTATTATAAGCATGGTAAACTTTTGTTCAAAATGTATTTGTTCATCCCTCCTAAAAAAATTGATGACGTCACCCTTAAATTTTGCTGAATAAATCCTATCTAAAATGCAAAAAATATGATGAGTTTGTACTTGTGATTTATCATTCCATTCATATTTTTTAGATTTTCTTAAGAGGTGGTTCAAAAAAATTAATGAAGTCAATTTATTTTATTGATTAAATTAAAGGCAACACTTATTATTAGTATTACACCCCAACCAACCCAATTTGGTAGACACAAAATTTGTTAAAGGAAAAACTCGGTTGAAACATAAGGGTAGCATGCTTATTTACATCGACTTTAACATTACAGACCTGCATTTGTTTTATGCACTCACTTGGTTCCGCGAATGTGGAATAGACTTGTTTATAATCAACCAATTGTGAATTTCACCGTCAAGAATTAAAATAAAACCCAATGTTTTATATAATAAGCGGAAGTCGAAGCAATAAAACCGATGGTCGTTTTGTTTACAGTTTCTCTGTTTGACTCTCACGTATGCTGTTATGCTTGTCATCTTAAATTAAGAATGTTTATACATAAACGATTTTCAGTTGCCCCTCATATTACTAGACAGCGGATTTCTGTCGGGCTACGTCACGATTGTAGGTGGGGACGCGCTGGATCGCCGGGTGATAGATAATCACCGAATTTAATCGGTACTAATTTCATAAATATAATTAACGATTTATTAATCAAACGGCTAAGTAAGTGAGAACGGGAATTAACAGCAGAGTGCAACGAAACAGCGTTATTCTAATCTCAAATAAACCAAGTGCAGTCCGCAACCGCAATGAATTCGCATCCCGTACGAGCCGTACCGAGTTTGGCCTTGCCTAGCCCGACAGAAATCCGCTCTCTAGATATTACACACCGGCGCCGTATACGTGAGTAAATTGTTTCGTTATTTTATTGATTATAACAAATCAATATTCAAAACGACCCAATTCATTTTCCCGAAAATTTGGGAATACAATAATTTTATTCTTAGTATTACACTACATCTATCCCAACTGATATACGTGTCCTTGCAAAAATGTTGATGACGTCATCACAATTTTTTTTTAAATTCCCACTACAAAAATGTAATGAGAAAAAAAAACACAATAGGCATGCAGTCGTCAAGTTTCCGACAGCGAGGGAAGTACTGTCTAAACTCTTTAGACCAAATTTTTTTTATTTATAAACCATCCCCGTAATATAAAAAATTCTTCAAATCGGTCAAGCCGTTTTGGCGTTTTAGCGAGACTAACAGGAACTGCAATTGATTTTTATTATACCGGGTGTCTGGAAAATGGCGGATTAACTCTGCGCTACGCTCTTAACAATCAACTGGTGAGTCTGGGAAAAATAGTAAAAAAAAAATCCTTCGCACATTTCGGTGAAGTTATAATGATTTTAAAATTGGTTCTTTTGCTACGTTTAACAACTAAACAACTCATTCATTATCAGAATAACTAGTATTAAAAGTTTTAGTTAATATTTTTCGCGCCCAACACCATGTTTAATTACCATTTCAGTTAGAATGCAGAAAGATATGGCTGTGTTATTTTTGTAATAATTTGATAAAATTCCATTTGACAACAATGTTTGCCTGATATAAAGCTAAGGTGGATTTCAGTTACCATCGTTACTAAGAAACCAGAAAGTAAGCCGGAGGTATGCATTGGGTATGTACAATGTTGCCAATTTTACTTTTATAAAATCACGTTTTTTTCGTAATCTATATTATAAAGAATTTTTTTATTATTTTTTTTGGGACGCCCGAAACCCCCGTATATAAGGTACTGAAGAGTTAATCCGCCATTTTCCAGACAGCCGGTATAGAAGATTAAAAAATGGGGGTTGGTGGTAGAAAGGTGACAATTTATGGTTATATGTATTTTGTGATGCCAAATCTTAAAAAGATTAAAATAAAACATTTTGTCCAAAAAATAAACAAACATTTTTTAGGGTGGGCCACCCTTATCACTTAGGGGTATAAAAAATAGTTTACGACCTATTATCAGACCTACCGAATATACGTAAAAAATTTCATACAAATCGGTCAACCCATTTCGGAGGAGTTCGGTTACAAACACTGTGACGCGAGAATTTTATACATAAATAATAAGCATTCACGTTCGGTAGAAGTAGCTAACAGAAATTTTTCTGTGGTTAAGTTGCAATCTTAAGACCACTAGAAATTAAAGATTGGTATCAACTGTCTAATTTTCTAATTCAAATGTCAAATCTGAATTGTCTGGAAAAAAACGAAGTTTTTCTAATTTCAACACGCTTCGTTTGAAGAAAATCCTTAAATACAGCGTGGAAACAATTTCC